GACAGGAGGCGGCGCGCGCCCGCCTGCAGGCCCCGGGCTCCGAGCGAGAAGACCGAGGAGGGGGCGGAGGAAAAGTTCCCGTGACGTCAGGGCCCCGGGGAAGTGGGCGGGAGGGGCGGGGCCGCGGGGGCCACGCGGCCGCTGATTGGTGCGCGCTCCCCATTCACACCGAGCACAATGGACTCGGGCGCGCGCCCCACGCTGTCTGCACCCGCGGCTAGCTGCAGCCGGGCGGTTACGCTTTCAGCCCTGGGGATTCCCCCCACCCCCACCCACTGTCCCGCGCCTTGGGACCTCCGGCTGCAGCTTCGGGCTCCGCCGAGGCCGAGCTGCAGGCTGAGGAAGGGGGCAGGGGGCAGAGAGGAAAGGAGATGAATTCCAGAATCAGTCATTCACCCCCACGCGGTAGTTCCGGGGAAGACCTGTGAGTGGTAGTGGATGTGGTTTTTTTTTTTTTTTTCCTTTTCCTGCCCCCTCCCAGCTCTAATCCCCAGCGTCTGTTCGCTTCCACAAATAGAACCTTCTGCTGGATGGAATAAAAGCAAACACTGGGCCTTCTGCGCTGCCTCCACCTCCACGCCCCTCCCGCGCCCGCCGCCCGCCCGGATTGCACGGAAATAGCTCCTCCAGGCTCCCGGGCCGCCCCTTCGCGGTGACTCGCAGAAAGAGCTTCCTGAGCCGACCGGTGGGAAACAAAGGATGTGGGGAGCGGGCGGAAGGGGCCCACGTGGCGGCGGCCGGATTCCTGTCCCACCCCAGCCTCCATGCCCTCAGCAGGGTCTGGGGCCGGGGTGCCTGTCCGGATCCCGGGGTGGGCAGGTAGGAAAGTGGAAGTCGTCGTGACCACGGGGGTGATGCTGCCTAGGTGACCTTGGCAGGTCGTATGCGTGCATCCATGCAAAGCGATCTGGGTGAGGGTAGCGCCGGTGCAGAGTGAACAAATCCCCACAAAGAACACGAAGCCGCCGTTTTCTTTCTTGAGAGATCCAGGTCAGTTGGGAGTCCCCAGACGCTAAGCAAAGATAACCATTTTCAGACAGCCCCGTGCTTCTGCCATACACTTCATGTTCGAAAACCTGGCAAGCCCCAAGGATAAATCTTTTTCCTTCTTCAGGCTCCATTCATTCAACAGACACTTATGAAGCAGCTACTAAAAATCCTGGAGGCTGGGGGGTAGAAGACGAAAATTAGAACATTAATAGTAACAGCTGACATGCGCCGAGGCTGCAGTGTGCCAGGCGCCATTCTTAGTACTTTGCCTGTGCTAATTCCCTTTAGTTTTACAGCCACATGTTGAGGTTACCCACCACCACCACCACCCCTTTCCCCCCTCCCCCCATACATGAAGGAAGAGTCCTACAGAGATTTGTGTTACTGGCTGTGGCAAGATCCTAAATTAAATCGTGGCGCTTTCAGGCTCTTAAGCCCTTGTAGGGATTTACATGAGCGATTACAATGTGTGGGGAGAAAAGTGATGTTAAGGAGGTTTCATCTGGAAGGAGGCATTTGACCTTGGGCACGTGTGGGATTGTGAAATGAGGGGTGGGGGGGTGTTAAGGAGAGAGTGGTCAGACCAGGTGGGGATGTGGGGAAGGGGACTGCGCAGGTGGAGTCCCTGCCAGCGCAGAGGTCCCTCAGGAGATGGAGGGCTCCGCTGAAGCGCTCGCATTTGTGTCCAGGAGAGAATGCAGCTGATGTTGGCGCTTTCCGGTTAATTCTGTGCCTGTCTTTACGAGCTGCGCTGCCAGCTGAGTGCCTGCACTTGGATGGCAGCTCACCAGGGCCCATCAAGCTCTCCCCCCCCACACACCCCACCCCCGTCCTTCCTGCCTTCACTGCCTCTTCTCTGAGAAGGGCATCCCCCCCACCCCCACCCCTGGGGCTGGCGTCCCTGGGGGTCCTTGCCCTTGAATTTGCCATTTCCTGTCTCCGCCCACCATGAGTTCCCGATCTGCCCTAGCCCACTTTGCTCCACAGCCACCCCTGCTCAGCGCCCGCCAGAGCCCCAAGCTCCCTTGCCCACTGGGCTCCAGCCCACCTTGCCCACCTGGGAGGCCCTGGAGGGAGACTGGAAGGTGGAAGGAAAAGTCAGTTCCCCTTCTTTCTCTCCCTAGGGCCCTGGATGTACCTCCTCTGTGACTGCAGCCCTCACCCCACCCCCCAACTCTTCTATAAGGCTGTTTCTTTTTCATTCATTGATTGATTGAGGAAGCGCTGGTCTCCGGCTTGTGTGTGAGTTAGGGTGTAGATCCAACTCTCCAGTGTCCCTTAATCAGACCAAAGACCGATCTCTAGGCTGCCCCTCCTCTGCTGCCTCCACTTCCCCTCTGCAAACCTGTTCTGTAGTAGATTCCAAGGGTGTATTTGGGCTGGTTTTGTCTGTCGTGTTTGTTTCACGTATGCATGAAATCACCTGATACTGTCTTTCTCCTTCTGGCTTACTCTCTGAACATCATCTCCAGTTCCGTTCACATTACTGCAGATGGCAAGATCCGGTCTTCTCTAACAGGTGAGGCGTATTCCGTTGTGTGGAGACTCGTCGCTGGATCCGCTCAGCGTGCTTGTGCACTTAGGTTGTCTCCACACCTCGGCTATTGCGACTAAGTCTGCAGTGAACATCAGAGTGCGTCTCTCCCCTTTAAATAAGTGTTTTTATATCCTTGAGAGAGCTGCACAGGAATGCAATTGCTGGATAGGATAGCCTGGTTTTTTTTTTAATATTTATTTATTTATTCGTACAGAACTGGGGTACAGGCCAGAGATGCAGAGGGTGAGAAGACTCACCAGAGACAGAGCCGGGAGCAGAACAGGCAGATCGACGAAGTACACTACTGAGGGGAGCAGCGGGCGGGTCAGGAGAGGTCTGCCACGCCATGTGGATCTCCTCCGGGGCAGGCGGGGATCGAACTTATGTGGAAGTGGCTTAAGCTTCTTAGTGCTGTGCTTTAACCCGCTGCGCCACCAGGGAGGGCCAGGATAGCCTGTTTTTAATATTTGGAGCAACCTTACATGGCTGTTTCATATGCCCCAGCAGGGAGATGTGCGCCCAAATCTCCCTGCTGGACTAAAGGACTTTTCCATCCCAGGAGGCTGGGAGTGCCTTTGGGGGGCCCTTTGGAAGCCGACTGGCCAAGAAGGGGTTCCGTGTCCCAGGTCACTCTCACTGCTCAGGAAGGGCACACCAGCCTGTGATAATGGGAGTGCAATCAGCTCTTGCTTCAAAGTGGAGCGGACCCTGAAAGCATCCAGGCTTCCAACTACCCACCCTGCATGGAGGGTCAGCTGAGCCTTCCGGGCTCCCTCCAGCACAGCTCTGCCCTCAGCTCTACCCCCTGCCTGCCCAGCTTGTCCAGGTACATGACCTAATAAACCTCCTGCACACACCTGGTCTCCACAAGGGTCAGCTGACGGGATACGCAACACATGTTGAAATGGGGCAAAAATTGACTTACCTCCAACTTTTCAGGAACTCACCTATTACGTAATGTAGGGAACCTGTATTGATTTTCCTGGACAAGGATGAGTTATTGATGAGCTTGGGCTTGGTTCTTTTTCATTCATGCCCAGGTAGTTGTCTGCCAGCAACACAGGGAACGTTCTACATGTTCAGCCCCTTCTCAAATGCAGAGAAATGCATGCAGTTGGGTTCTCATGGGAACCTCCATCTCCCTGCTTCTTGGTACACACAGCAAGCTCTGTGTTCCCTGACCCTAAATTCTAAGTGAATGAGCAACAACAAAAAGAATATCTAAGGGAGACAATAGTGTATAGACATTGTTCCCAGGGCTAGCAAAGAAACGAGAACTGACTGAGCTTGCCAATGCTAGAGCGTGGCCTATTCTCGTTTCATGTTCAAAATCATCTCACAAAACAGTTCTTAACGCCATTTTGTAGATTCAGAAACAGGCTCAGAGATGTTGATTAGCCTGTCTAAGATCGCACAGCTGGAAGGGGGCGAAGGCATCACTGGGACCCTGGGGCGCTGATCCCCTGCCCTGCTAACTTCTCTCCACACACCA